CTAGTTGCCGTCCTGACTCAGCCTCGTGTAGTTCCTCGAAAGCTAAAGATGGCGTAGAAGTATCAGGGAAAAACGGGAAACGTTCAACTCCCACCAACTCGGAAAATGGCACAATTGCACGTAAATCGGGGATACCAAAATCCACACCGATTAAACTTGCAATTCTTGCCATAACCGCTCCAGACACAGAGGCTGGAAAAAACCCTTATCGTCTGCCAGTAATAGTGGCCACGGCATAGAGACAAACAATAATATCCAGTCGCACCAGACGAAACAAAACGGTCTTAAAAGGGATGACAAATGTGCGAGGACCGAACCTAAATCCACGGTTAGTAGATCAAACTGCGTTATCCTCTTTAATGTACCAGACTGTAGCAGTAGTCCGCTGGAAAACAGGGCCCTGTTTGATCAGGAACGGTGGTCCAAATTATGTAGCACACTGGGTCTGGACATCCAACCAGTGAAACTATGCAGATTGTATAGGGGCACTGCTGCTCCTCAAGGCACACCATCCCCACTGAGGGTAACACTGGGCTCTACCGAGGATGTCGAAAAAGTTTTACTGACTTATCAAGTCCTTTCTATGGGGAGGGCCTGCAACATACGTGTTAGGCCAGACAGGCCATGGAAGGAAAGACAGATGGAGAGGGAGTCACCAGAGCTTATTCCTTCTGTTTCCATGGCTGTTCACGGCATTCCCGAACTGGTAACTGGGAACGCTTGTGAGAAGCATTGTCACGATGTGCAGCAATGGAGATGGTTGGCATCCCAGATGGCTCTGGGAAGTTCAGGGGCTATCTCTATTTATAGACTCCCTCGACCCACTCACCTTATGTCAATTAACACTCCACGTCTGTTAGCTGTCAAGTTCAGCTCCCGAGACCAGTTGACTACTGATCTCCAGAGATGGTACTAGACCAAGGACAAGGTCAGCAGACACATTCGCCGCTGCGACAGCCGGCCTCGTACCCAAAGGAGAGAACAAAGCGCTGTCGAAGAAAATCCTCAACCCTTAGTCACACTACAGCGGTGCAGCACGGACGATGATAGCCAGTGTCATTCAAGTGCTCCGATTGAACTAGAAGAAGAAAACGCCAACAGACCGGTTCTTGGGGAATCGGCCAACTAGTTCGTAGGATAACTCCTCAACTGAGAGTCCACATCAAGTCAACCATCCCCCAATACGGGGACGTGGTGAGACTGACTACCAGTTGCCTGTACAGTAATGTGAGAGGGCTAAGAGGTAAAATAGCCGAACTTAGACACCTACATTCACAGCTGAACTCCGAAATCATAATACTGACGGAAACCTGGCTAACCCCTACGGTGGCAGACAGCGAAGTCAGTATAAATGATATGGTCCTAGTCAGGCGAGATAGGGACCTGAAAGAAGGAGGTGGAGTCGCCATATACGTCGACGAACAGGTCAGATGTGTTCACGCAATGGACCCTCCCCCCATTGAGCTCCCTGACTCCATATGGAGCCATTTCACCATTGGGTACTGTAAATAACTAGTGGGCAGCATTTATCGATCACCTTCATGTGGAGCAGACCACAACCAGGTACTGCTAAATACAATTTCAGCGACACAAGACATGGGTTATGATCAAATCGTCATAGCTGGCGACTTCAATGCTCCATCTCTTAACTTGATGACGGGATATGCCCATTACAGATTTGATCGAAATCTGCTGCATACCATCAGGGAGGCTGGATTCACTGAAAATGTCAGAATGGATACTAGATGAGGCCCAGATGGGAAGTCTTCTAGACTGGATTATGTGCTCAATAGTGTCCAGCTACTAGTGGAAAACGTTCAGATCACGAGTCCCATAAGTAGTAGTGACCACGCGGTCATAACATTCGACATAGTCCTCCGCGAGCGCTTACAGTGGGACAATATACAGCCCTATCTGTGTTACAACAAAGCCAATTACACCGAAATGCGAAGACTTTTGTCTGAAGCAAATTGGCCTAAAAATGGACAGAGCTAACAGTAGAAGAACACTGGGGAGTGGTAAAGGAGATCATTCACCAGGCGGTCTCAGACACTGTTCCTTTAGTCACACCAAAAGCTAGAAAGCAACGTTCATGGCTAAAAAGAGGGAAACAATGCCTTCTGCAGACGAAGCGAAAAGCCTGGTTTGCATGGCGACTATCGAAGAGTCAACCCGAACGTGAAGTGCACCTTGAACTCAGGAATCGATGTAACATACGAGTCCGGAGTGATAGAAGGACATTTCAGTGAAAACTCGCCAATAAGCTTCTCGTGAACCCCAAAAGCCTATACAGGTTTATGTCTGAAAGAAAACCGACCAAACAGGGAGCTTGCAATCTAGTGGGTTCTGATGGGAAATCTCTTACTAGTCTTGAAATGGCAGAGACATTCAGTCTAGCCTTTCACAGGCAACTAAACAGTAAGGAGGATTTTACTCCCGCAAAACATCAAGATTACAATGCAAAACCAACGCGCGAAAACCTGCTGGGTACATTCCAAATTACCCCGGCTATGGTACTCGTAAAACTGGGAAAGTTGGCTTCGGGGATGTCTGCAGGTCGCGATGCCATAAGACCATCCGTCCTGAAGCAGTGTTCAGAAAGTCTCTGCCAACCCCCAAGTGATCTATTTCAACACTCCTTTGATGTAGGGAAACTTCCATCCTATCCCCTATCTTCAGGGGTGGTGACCGGCAGAATGAGACCAGTTACAGACCAGTTGCGCTACTTCCAGTGATATCGAAGATATTGGAAAGTCCCATTGACGACCACATGAGAAAATACTTCGACAGGACTAACCTACTCCATGAACAACAGCAAGGTTTCAGGAGGGGAAGATCCTGTGTGACGAATCTTCTACTAGCTTGGAATGATTGGACACTATCCTGGGACGTAAAGGTACCAGTCCATGTGATTTTTCTCGACTTTGCTAAAGCATTCGACACAGTTCACCATGGTCTGCTCCTTGACAAAATAGGCAAGGCGAGTGTTTCTGGAGCACTACTCGCATGGCTGAAAGATTACTTAGGCGAGAGAGAATTCTGCACCAAAGTCAACCACATCCGATCATCCTGGCACACCTCGGCATCAGGGTTCTATCTCAGGGCCGTTGATGTTTTTGATTTTTATCAACGACCTGCACTGCCAACTGAGCTGCTCTGCGCTTGTTTACGCTGAAGACGTAAAGATTTGGAGAGTGATAAACTCATCGGAAGACTCAGACAGATTGCAGGCTGACCTGCAAACTCTGGGAGACTGGGCTCTGGCTAACGGAATGCCTTTCAACCTAAAGAAGTGCAAAGTAGTGCAACTTCATTCCGGCAGGTCACAGAGTGTAAATTACACCCTTGGTGGCCAGAACTTGACTTGTGTGCCATCAGAACGCGACCTAGGTCTTATTTTAACAGAAAAGCTAGACACCAGTGTAAATTACACGAGGGACGTCGCCAAAGCTTACGCAACTTTACACTTTATGCATAGGCAGCTGGGAGCTCTTACTCCCGAACTATTCTTTAGGTTGTATACGACATACGTGAGGCCACTCCTTGAGGTGCATAATATCATTGCTCCTCCGCTACTCAAAAGGGATGCTAACATTCTAGAAAGTGTCCAGAGACGAGCGACCTGATCGGCCTCCGCAACAAATTATGCGAGGAAAGACTGAAGAAATTAAGTCTTTTCACATTTAGTTACCGTAGTCATAGAGGAGACCTCATTACCGTCTATAAGATCTGAAATGACCAGACCCACCCTGATAAAAGCATCCTACCATTAAGTGATTATAGGCTTCCACGAGGGAACCCGCTAAGGATAGCACACCAGAGACCAAAGACTCGAGTGCGTTCACATTTCTTTTCCCTTCGAGTTTGCCGTCTCTGGAACGCTTTACCGGCGGTAGTGACTACAGAGCCATCTGTGGAGACTTTTCAACGGAAGCTGGACAATCATGCAGAAATGCAAGGCTTGTGTCTTAATGACTTATCCTCTTAAAATTTGAAACCACACTGTCAATGGATAAGCATACAAACTAAATCCCCACAACCCGTTCTGTCTTCTCTCCCTGTACCGACTACTCTATCTCTTCTTTCTTTCTTTCTTATTTCACCTTTATTATTTCACTTATCTCAACCTATATTATCTATACTACAACCTATTATTATTATTACTATCCTACTTTTATGACTACACCGAATGACCAACGGGTGTTAGGTCAAACTCCATTCACGGCAGCAACTCAGTCCTAGCAAACTGCACACAACAAACCACATCTTGACCAATCCTCGCACAACTCCTCTTGGAGTCTACCAGAGCTAAAGCAGTCGAGTGGCGGGACTTACTACGCAGAAGTTCACCGAAGACCTGGAACCTCTACCTTAAAATAAAGAAGCGAGCTCAAAGAAATCACTGGTTTGTACGGCTGGACTTATCCGGCATGTTGGTTGAAATTTCGCTCGGCAAATTTGTTTTGTCAATAGTTTTTAATAAAATTTTGTTGTATGTTTTCTGGATTGATAGGAATTCTCATTTCCTGGCTAGTTATGTTGGTGTCTGCGTCATTTAATCTGACTGCGACACACTTAGCATATTGGTTGTAATGATAAGTGTTTCATGCTGAATGCGTCAAAACATCTCTACAATGAAGAAGATGGGGTAGTTGGTGGGTAATGTCATCTACACAAATAGTTTATTTCTTGTAGAAGCTGCAGCTTTCGACATAGTGTCATTCAATGAAGACTACGTCAAAATGTGGCTATTTTCGTGTGAAGAACAGTACTATTTTACAAAAGAATGCTATCAGTACATGGGAATCACCTATAAATGCCAACAGAACATAAAACCAATGTGTAAACGAACGGCTATGGAACTGCAATCCAACATAACCGACTAACATGGACGAAAATGACCTTTGAGCGTCTCACTCCATCAATGACCTTGAGCATGCGGGATAATTTCAGCCGTTTGTACTAGCTCGTAATCAGGACATTGGACTCCCAGATGAAGTGGTGTCTGCAACCTCAACTGATTCATTCAAGAAGGGTGTGGACAAGCACAGAAATTTACTTGAGAAGGGTTAACATAGGCTCAAATTTTCCTATCCTGAATCAATAAATCTGTGTTCATCACCATGGTGATTCGCACTTTTTCGAACGTGGACATTACTGTTTCTTTTAAGTTATTTTGTCCTCGTATTTTAATGCCAAAGAATGCAGAAGTTCATATCTGGCACGGAAAATACCCAGTGGCAGGTATATACATGAACAGAGACCACCGCTTAAGGGGTTTGCAGGGTACATTCCGAATTTCTAGGGTTCACGAGCAGTTGTAGAACAGTTATCAAAAGTAGGACACACCGCCTATTTACATGAACTAGAAGATTTCAATGAAATAGTAGAAATTGAAGTCAATAAAGAAATTGTTTTTCGCTGCAAGGTCTTGGATTTTCAGTTTGGTATGTACATGTGCTCTGAAATAACACACTAGTGATCTTTTCAGGGAGCGATGGTGAATTGGATCCACTGTGTAAAGCAGTTGTTGATAGTGTGAATAACGCTTATTAACGTCTTATCTGAAGTTGTTTCGGTTACTGAGCTAATTTATGTTGACTATCTATATAGGTAGTGCATATATGCAAGTTTCCACACTTGTAGTCAAGGCTACAAGACCACTGGGAAGACTAATATTTACCAAAGACTGTTGTGCATTAGAGTCTTCTGGAAAGAGAAATTCTTGCTGGCTTAATTTGTTTCTCTAGATAGAATATATATGTATAATATATATATATATGTACTATAGAACCTACATGTGTTCAGATGTTTGCCTGGTAAAACTGTTTAGGTCAAAATTTACTGTGATCAACAAAAGCCTATTCTTTCAAAACATATCATGTGTAGCTCAGTCTGATGCCAAGTCTTTAGTAGTGCAATAACGATCGTCCTTACTATTTTAGAGTCTTCGTAGCGAAATTTAAATTGACTTTGCAGACGCACTAAACTGCATGTAAAGCCTGAATACCTCGAAACTGTGCGTTTTTTGAATTCTAGTTGGTGTTGGAGTGAAACACTTTAGTAATTTAATAGTAGTAGTGTTTACAGTTTACAATTTATTTAGGATAGTAGGCTATATGCCTGTGTTAATCCTTTCGATTTGTTACACACAGGAGGTCCAATCTTGCCTTGAATGAATTAACGGATGGCGCTGATACGACGTGTTCCGGTAGGGAGTTCCAATGGTTCACAATTCGATGCGAAAAACGGATCTCCAGACGCAGACGATTCGACCGTGGTTTTTGAACCTTGAGGTGATGTCCTCGCAATTGGTTGGTGCTAGAAGGAAGAAATAAATTAGATAAATTAGCTCCAAACTCATTTCTTAGGATACGGTATGCTAGTGTTAGGTCATCCCTAAGTCGTCTGTATGACAGTGGAAATAAACCCAGTCGACTTAACCTCTCCTCATATGAGAGGGTTGAGAAACCCTTTATTAGCTTAGTTCCTACTCTTTGCACCCTTTCTAATAAGTCTATTTCGTTTTTGAAACACGGGCTCGCTGCCTGGATCCCATATTCCAAATGAGGTCTGATATAAGTCGGATATAATATACGAAATATTTCAGCGTCAAAATTCGCAAAAGCCTTGCGTATGGCCCATAATATTCGAAAACCCTTAGTGGCTGCAGCTCTACAGTTTGTTGCTGTTTTCAAGTCATGCTGCACAACCACTCCCAAATCCTTGTAATCAGTGACCACTGGGAGAGTAATGCCATTCATTGAGTAATTGTGCACGTGACTATGAGATACATGCATAACTACACTCTTGCTTAAGTTAATCTCCAAGGCCCAGTGCTTACACCAATCACTTAACAAGTTTAAATCTTCCTGCAAAGCAAGTTGATCACTGTCATCGTGTAAAGCCCTCCATATCTTGATGTCATCAGCAAACAGTAAGCAGGATGACTTAACTGCCGATGGAATCTCATTAACATCAATCAGGAAAAGAAGTGGGCCTAGAATTGTACCCTGAGGAACGCCACTCTTAACCGATTCCCATGTTGATAAAACCCCGTTAACTCGTACTCTTTGTCTTCTGTCCTTTAGAAAGTCTTGAATCTAGTTGACAACCACTTTATTGATTCCCAGACTACCTAACTTTGCTAGAAGACCTGAATGAGAAACCCTGTCAAACGCCTTGCTAAGGTCGATGAATATGGCATCCACCGGTATATTAGCATCAGCTGAGCTTGCCCAACTTTCTCTGGCCAAAAGAAGGTTGGTCAAGCAAGAATGACCTGCTCTAAAACCATGCTGTTCCACGGCGAAAAGTTTGTTCCCTTCAATGAACTGAATAATAGCATCACGAATTATTCTTTCTAGTAGTTTAACAACAATACTGGTCAAACTAACAGGACGATAGTTCTGAACTAAGTTTCTAGATCCGGTTTTGAAGACCGGACTAATGATGGCATCTTTCCAGTCTCTTGGACATTTAAACTGGTCCAGAGACATATTGAAGATTACAGACAGTGGCTCGGCTATGTTTTCAGCCAATGCTGTTAATATACTTGGGTGGAGTTCATCAGGGCCACTGGACTTACCAGGATTGATCCTTAGAAGCCACTTTAGGACAGTATCCTTTCCAATGTATAAGGGTGCCATTTTCAAGTTACCTTCTGGAAAAGTTACAAAGCTGGTATCAATATTATCAGAGAATACTTGACTAAAGTGCTTGGACAAAGCCTCAGTCTTAGTCAAGTTATCCTCAGCCATGTTTGTCTGGTCATCTTCAAGCATAAGAGGTGGGATAGCATCACTCTTACGTGTTCTTCTCTTGATATATGAGAAGAGTCTTTTCGGGCAGCCTGGTGAACTTTTAACTAACTGGGTTTCGTAAGCTATCCTTGACTGGTGAATCAAAGTTTTACACTGGTTTCTGGTTTCACAGTATTTCAGCCGGAACTGCTGAAACCCAGTAGAAACAAAAAGATTCCAGAACCTTTTTCTCCGTCTTAGGAGTGTTATAGCTTGTCTGTTTATCCATGGTGGCCGATTTCTTGGTCTTTTAGGAACCCTCCATGGAGAGCTTGTCGTGTTTAGCAGTGGCTACGTCTTTTCTCACCACTATTGATGCAGCCTGGCTACAGGTGACAGACGTTTGCCTACCATCAATATTACTATGTTTCTTCCGATTGCTTACTTTCGTTACCCACTGATCATCTGCCTGCAGTTGCTTCTCAGGGTTCCTGCAGTTTTTGATGGTACAATCGAGATCAGTGTCTGCACCACCTTCATGGTTAACTTCGCTTACAGTGTTCTTTGGTGCTGAGATGCTGTTTGCAGCTTCAGTTTTGTTACCTTTTCGCTTACTAAGACGCTTCGAACGTCTAGTAGGTTTTACTTCCGGGGTAACTGGGATAGTAACCGCCGGTGTGGTAACATTCATGATGGCACTTACTGCGTCATCTTCAGACGGGCAGTCTGTGTCACTATTACTAGCCAAGCTATCATCAGGAAGTTCCATAGCTTCAGACAGTCATCTTTGGGGAGCAACACATTCTGCACATCCAGTGGGATGTTGGAGCACTACAACGTTTGTATGCGGCTGGACGTAATCCAGTACACATCTTATGATACCACTTTTTAAAGTTATTACACTGTATTCCATCATCTACCAAAAAGTAACACTACACCCTATTACATTTTTGTGGTACTTTTGACATAATGAACTTCTACTGGAACAGCCAAGACAATTTACCTAATATAGACTATATAAGTGGTTAAAATCAAAACTTAACAGACAAAAGTCAAGTTTAAGTTTTAAGAAATGTTCTTGAAGTGAATAACACAACAAAAACAGCGATTTGTCAAATACGTGAAAATACGTGGAAAAAGCACTCCTTTTTTTCTGTATGAAATACAAATGTTGGGTATAAAATCTTCCTACATAAAAATGACTCCTATTAAAAAATCAGTGTCTCATTCAGTAAGTAGTAAAGTTTCTAAAGCCTGTTGTCTTTGTTCCAGTTGCAGTTATCGGGTTTCTAATAGAAGGCTTTTCTTTAGTGTTCACCTTTCCTTATCAAAAATATATGTGTTCTTTAACCCCTCTCACACGAAATATTTGAAAAAACAGAAACTATTTCTTATGAAATTAAGCTCCGGGTGTTAAAACTCTGTAGGAGAACCAGAACACTATGGCAACATAGTCTAGGCTTCGCTTTTGTATTCAATAGTTGTATCCACTGAATTGTCTCAATTCACTTAGGAAGAAAAGAGAAGACAAGCTAGGTTTATAGCCGTCCCTTAGGATTACATTCATTATGACGAGTACCTCCGGCTGTTTATGACGAAAGGGAGGGATGAGATGCAGCATCTTATGTTCGCCTTTATGCAGTTAATGAATAACACCAAGAATCGGATGCATTTTTTACAAACGTTGAAGTCTAACAAATTATTAAGGTGCATTGCAGAGTGTATATACTGCTCTCTTCAGTTTCCCCTACATTTTCGCATCACTACTGTAGATAACCATTATAGATTTTGACAGATTAAGGAGTTTTTAGTACAACAAATAAATAATTAGGGACCGTATAGTGTTCCTTACTTTGCCTTGCCATCTAACACAGTTCACGGAGAGTTTGAAGTTGATCCTTAATCTGTCTTTAACTGACAGGGAACTCTTCGATCAAAATAAGTAGCATGGTAGGGATAACAACACGTTTCAGTTCTTTGAATAATAGATTGTAACAAATTTTATCACAAACCTTACTCAGTTCTACTATCATAATTTCAACTTCCAATTAATATTCTAAGTTTAAGGTAGAAAAATCCCCCTTAAAAGTAATTTTTTGTGATGGATAGCATGTCAAAACATTTCAAGTAGGCTACAACCATATTTCTCAAAAGTTGTATCTACAATACTGACAAAACTAAAATGTCTACAATTTCAAAGTAGTATAGGTCACTCTTGTAAGTCGGAGGTGACTATTACTTCCTTCTAACCAGACTACAATACTTCGGTGTTTGGTGGGTGGTCGAAAGGTTAAAGTCCTATGCGTAGGTTTCTAGGTCCTTGGAAAAGTTTAGATATGGCTCACCTGTCCTTTTGACTTCCTACTACTCACAATACTAAAATGTCTGCGCACAAAATTTCATCTACAGTGACAAAACACATTTTGTTTACTGATGATACTTCTAGCGTCAGGAGTAAGTTTGGTGACGGAACCTAAAAAATAGCATCTAAAGTAGGAATAAGCTATATGAAGTAATGGCTACTACTAATTCTGAGATATCATCAATTGTGGCTGCCATTCTTTGTAGAGCGATGTTAGCTGACACAGTGCTGGATTAGAAAAGAAACTGTGATGGTCAAAACAAAAATTACCAACAATATGTGAAGCGTTTCACTGTGAGTTTCAGCCAAGTAAGGAACTATAGACTGTGACTGGCGTTCTGGAGACTGTAGGAATCCATACCTACAGAAAGCTGAAGACGTGGAACGGCATCGATAAGAATGACAGAGACGAAGTTACTCACCCTGATCTCGCGGATCCATCTCACATGTAGTCCTTGATTATCAAAATTTCTACCCATTTTTCTATCCACCTTATATAGGAAATATCGTGCGAGCGAACACTAACGATACACATCTGCATAATTCCCTAAATCCAAAATAAAGTATAATTCAATTGAGGAGAAGAGTACAAATATACCTCAAGCACCGTGCAGGAAAGGAAGGTTGCACAAAAAGTGAGGAGACATGGTACAGAAATACTGAGAATCTGCGGGAGCAAACGGAGTGGATATGGAGTCTTCAAATTCTTCACTGGAGAGGCAACAAACTGCTCAGATCACCCAGACGACAACCACAGGCACACTGAGGAAGTGGTTATCATAAAGTCATCAACAGCATTGAAGGTTCTTATACATTGGAAACCAATCTCTTCCACGAGAATGACAGCAAGATTCAACTCGAGAGGAAGGAAAGTTACAACTATCCAATGCTACGGGCACACAAACAACTTAGAACAGGTGAAGGAGCAAGACTTCTACAGATAACTGCAAGTAGTATTAGACAAGGCACCAAGTGGAGATATCAAAATCGTAATGGGTGATAATAAACAACATACGAAGATACCTCATAATGGGTCAGAAGGTTCTTGGTGAAACGACTGAGAACGTAGAGCTTTTCGTAGACTGCTGTGCCTTCACTGATTTAGCGATTGAAAGCGGCATGTACAAGCACAAGGATATGCAGAAGGCGACACGAGTTCCTCCTGAAGGAGACACAGGAAGTCAGACTGGCTTCATCTCCATCTTGAGAAAGTAAGGATGCAGCTTCCTAAACACAAAATTGACAAGAGAAGCAGATGTACACTCGGAACACAATAAATTGCTAGTAACGTTCAAGGCCAAGTTGAGGAGCAACAAAGAAACTGCAGATAAACCGCAATCAAAATTAAATTCTCAGTGTCTCCCAAAACAATCGCGCGCGTTTTTGTCGAGCGATGGATCGCAGGTTTTGGATGGCCATCTTCCATAACAACTGATCGCGGGCGGCAATTCGAAAGTGGCTTATTCTTCGCCCTGACTAAAATCATTGATTGTATGCGTTTTAGAACAAGGACTTACCTTCCTCAAGCTATTGATATGGCGAGACGTCTACACCAACAGTTGAAGGTTATCAGCTGCAAACAATGTACATTGGACTGAATCACTACCGTTAGTTCTCTTAGGCATACGAAATACCTTGAAAACTGCTGCTGCTTTTACTGCTACCGAGCTAGTATTTGGCACAACACTACAACTGCCAGGTGAGTTTGTTTCTCCCTCTAGCTTCCCACCAGCGACAGATCGTGCCTCGTACGTCAGCAGGGTTACAAACGCAATGCGTTCAGTTAAACCTGCTTCCCTCCGACCACAGTCCATATACGTCGTTGTTCACCCATAGTTGAAAACTTCTTCATATGTCTTTGTTCGTCGTGACTCTGTTCGTCGCCCTCTGGAACCCCATACGATGGACCATAAAAAGTCAATAAACGTATGGATAAATTTTTTGTCCTAGACAAAAGAGGCCGCGAAGACTCTGTTAGTATCGACAGTTTGAAACCGGCCTACTTAGTAGGCAATCCCATGAGCATCGAACTAAGCATTCCCAATAATACAAAAATAACCGAATATCCGTTAGTCGTCGAAGAAATCGCTAGCACGGCAAAGGCACCGGAATTTTCTATCGACCCGTGAGATTCCCAGAATATCTTCACACTTATCTCACATAAAACGATGCGATACACCCAATTTATCGCGCTTGTGGTATATTTTTATCTCTCAGGCACATAAGTATTTTTTCATTGCACCCACAACATAAGTCAAAATTTCTTTTTATAACCATATGTGTAACATCCACTAAGAACACATTATTCTCGATATTCTATTTTTCGCATTATTTTTCTGTATGGTAGATGTATATCATTATTCAAACGTTATTTTTCGCACAGTTTCCTCGACAAGGTTCTCAGGATTCTTGTTTTCTTACAGAGGTGCGAAGGGCACTGGAGCGCCAAAGTAATCTGAAAAAGAGAGTAACAAAACAAGTGCAAGCCTCTGAGGAAGAAAGAAAAGATGGGAGGAGGAATGGAACTCTACAGACACCTAGAAGCAGAGAGAGAGAGAGAGGAGAGGGATGGTCAAGCAGAAGATGAAAAAGTGCAGCGATGAACAACAAAATGAGAAGCTGAGTTCAATCTACAGCGAACTCGACAAAGAAGTGAAGAGGAGTGCTAAGAGAAAAGAAAGACAGCTTTCCGACATACAGGCAACTGAAACGAAACAGGTCGCAGGTAAGAGGTACCTCACAACACCATATCAAATGTCCCGGTCGCTATCCTGGAAAAGATCAATGCAAATGACACTGATGAAAGGTATTGAAGGATACCCAATTAACAAAGTAGGGATACAAAGAGGAACGATCGGCTGATCACTTCGAAGGACAATCGAAACGACTGCCACCAACAACCCATTCAGAAATACTACTATTAGTCACGTAACTGGCAGTGAACACCAACCCTCCGGCAAAATCGGAGGTCTTGAGAGTAATAGAGTTACTTGAGGGGGCGGGGCTGAAAAACATCAGGAGCAGAATAATCTGGAGTCTTTACCCCGCCTCCTTCCTCCAATACATGACTCTCTCCACGCATCTCATGAAATAGGACAAGAAGCAATTATAACAGCTTTCCAGTACTCCCTGCATGTTTTACTCTGGCCCTATAACCAATGTCAGCTCATGATGAAACCCTGTAACCAATTATAAAAGGCTTTTTTCTTGCACGCGTTTTATATGATGAGGAAAGTATCAGGTATAAAATGATTAGCTTGCTGTGAAACAGTAAACTACCCATTTTATTCTTCCCATCATTAATATATTGTTGTTACTTTTCCACTAGCTTTTAAATTTTACATTCATAGGTTTATTTACATTATATAAATGTCTTGGTAATTATTTCTCCCCTACCACGTAATGTAACGAGGAAATTAGATGCAATATTGTACTATTGCGTGTTCTATTTGACTAAATGAGCGTACACGTATTTCCTAGTACTTCTTCACGTTTATCAATGTGCGCAGACGTTGTGGCTACTCGACGCCCACAACGTAAAATCAGAAGGCACTTGTGAAGAGTATAATCGTGTATTATAGCCGTAGTCAAATTTCGAAAAAAGTATCAAGGTAACGTTCAACAGTAAATTGACAAATGTTTACGAAGTACATATAAAATCGGTATGTGTAAACATATAATATGAGTATGCAAATTAGATTAAAAACGTATGTTTATAGTTGGTACAGGGGTACTACATAATTCCCCCACCAGAACACTGAAATATAAAAAAATACATTTAAGTGTTCGACAATAACATGCATCAGCGTAATACGTAACAGCTACAGTACACAGAAAGCGATTTATTAAGCTGAAAAAATGAGCAATTTAATGCGGTCAATAAGGCCGATAATAAATGCGATAATAAAAGAAAAAATAGGATTGATGATCGTGGTAGAATATATAAGGAATGATACAATCAGCCGGGGATCTGTAGTCTGTATACGGAAACGATACGTGAATATTAAGCGCTATATGATTAAATGTAATAATACAGGGAATATCGATGTTAAAATAGTAGTGACGTGATTTACTTATGAAAATATTAATCAGTTAAATGAGTTGTTAAATGACAATTACGAATAAAGATAATAAAAATGAAAATTCGTAATAAGTTATATATTGATGATTTGTACATAACGTTTAGGCCAATGAACTCTCCTACCAGAACGTGTAGTTTTCATAGGTTTCTCTGGCAAAGTTGAAGCTTGCGTGGATGTAGATGTTGGCACGTCGTTCAGCTGATCTTCATCGTTGTCTTCGAAATCGTCGATGAACGCTGGTTTGACTCTGTCGACACTGATGGCTTCTGCTTTATTCAGTCGTTCTATCGTGATAACTTTATCGTTTCTATTTTGAACTTTGAATGGGCCATCATAAGCGGGTTGAAGTGGTCGTTGTACACCCTCTCTCCTGACGAAGACGTGAGTGCAATCTGTCAGTTGTGGTGGGATGTATGACGTTCGTTCCTGCTGGCGTGGAAGTGATATCTTGAGCTCGTTCATGTGTTGTTTTAGCTGGTGCACATAACCAGTCATATCTTGTGGAACTTGGTTACCTGGGGTGAAAAATTCTCCTGGTAATCGTAATGTTGTTCCATAGACTAGTTCGGAAACACAGCAGCCAATATCTTTCTTTAGAGCAGATCGTATACCAAGCAGTACCAGTGGGAGTTTGGTTGACCAGTCGTTTTGAGTCAAAGAAGCAGCGAGCGCAGCTTTGAGTTGTCGATGAAGTCGTTCAACCATGCCGTTGGAACTAGGATGGTAGGCGGTTGTTCGTATTCGTTTGATGCCCAGTAATTCAGTTAGCTGGTTAAAAAGTCGGCTTTCAAACTGAGCACCTCTGTCCGTAGTGATAATGGATGGGACACCAAAATTAGCTATCCAGTTTTCGACCAAAGCTTTAGCTACTGTTTCAGCGGAGACGTCGGCTATTGGAACTGCTACAGGCCAACGAGTGAATCTATCGATGCAAGTTAGAATATAGTTGAAACCATTGGAAGGAGGTAGTGGACCAACTATGTCTACATGTATATGTTCAAATCTAGAGTCAGGGTTAGGAAAGCGACCAAGTGGTGCATTGGTATGACGGTTGATTTTGACTCTTTGACAAGACAAGCAATTTCGTGTCCACTTCTTAACATCGCTATTAATGTTCGGCCATATAAATCTTTCTTTTATTAGTTTGATAGTAGCACTGACACCTGGATGAGACAAGTTATGTAACTTCTCGAATACTGTATGTCTCATAGCTGCTGGGACGAAAGGTCGATATTTACCTGTAGAGGTGTCGCAGATTATTTTTGTCGTGCCAAAAGGAATTGCGTCTAGCTTTAAAGATGTTGTTTTAGAAGACATAATCTTTTTTAGCTCGGCATCATCTCGTTGTAGGTTTGAGAGACGTTCGTAGTCGATGTCTGGGCATACAATGTTGTCAATGTGCACACGTGATAAAGCGTCTGCCACTTCATTGTGTTTACCCTTCACATGTCGCAGATCAGAAGTGAACTGAGATATAAACTCGAGATGTCGTAGTTCACGCGGAGAGTAGTTATCCTGTTTTGCTGATAAGGCTTTCGTTAGAGCTTTATGGTCTGTAAAGACAGTAAAAGTTGTACCTTCCAGCATATGTCGGAAGTGCTTGATTGCTAAATAAACAGCCAATAACTCTCTACCAAAAGTGCTATAGCGGCATTGAGTAGGATTCAGTCGTTTCGAAAAGAATGCTAGGGGTTGCCATTCGCCGTGTACTTGCTGTTGTAAAACCGCCCCGATGGCAACGTCTGAAGCGTCCGTCATGAGAGACAGGGGGGCGTCATTTTGGCGTCTGACTAGAAGTGTCTTGTCATTTAACAATTGTTTGACATTTTCGAATGCTTTAACAGCTTCTGCGGGCAAATGGAATGAACGACTGTGTCCACGTAAGCAATCGGTTAATGGTTGTAAAGCTTTAGCACAGTTGGGAATAAAACGCCGGTAAAAATTAACGAGACCCAAAAATCGTCGTAATTTTTTAAAAGAATCTGGTAGTGGATAATCTTTGATAGCTTGTACGTCATCAGGGACTGGTCTGATTCCTTGGCTATCGATTAAATGACCGAGAAATTTCAGGGAGGTCTTACCAAATTCGCATTTATCTAAGTTGATCGTCATGCCGTATTTGTTCAGTCTTTCAAACACTGTCTTCACATGTTTCAAATGCTCGGCTTCGTCTGCACTTGCGATTAGTAAGTCATCGATGTATGCGTAGACGAAAGGGAGACCACGGAGTACTTGGTCAATTAGGCGTTGGAATGTCTGAGCTGCGTTCATAAGTCCGAATGGCATGCGTACGAATTCGTATAAACCGAATGGTGTGGTAATGGCAGTTTTCGGAACGTCATCCGGGTGGATGGGGATATGATGATACGCTCGGACCAGATCGATTTTAGAGAAAACTTTAACATTTGGTAAGTTGCTAGCAAAATCGTGGATGTGTGGTATTGGGTATCTATCAGGTACCGTTTGCTTGTTTAAAGCTCGATAATCACCACACGGCCGTATTTCACCAGAAGACTTTTTGGGTACCATGTGAAGCGGTGAAGACCAAGAGCTGTTGGACGGTCGAATAATACCAAGCTCTAGCATTTTATCGAACTCTGTTTTGGCAATTTTAAGTCGATATGGGTCAAGGCGTCGTGGACGTGCAAAAACTGGTGGTCCAGTGGTTTTAATATGATGAACCACATGATGCTTCGGTTCTGTTCCTCGAAAAGAAGGTTGTAAAAGGTCAGGAAACTGATTTACCAAATTGGTATATGGAGATGCTGGTGTGCGTGTGACCATCAAGTTCAGTGATGATGCACGGCTAATCGTACCAGCAATGTACGTTTTATTGAGCGAATCTATTAGCTTGGGGCTTATCGGATCAACTAACAGTTTGTGTTGCTGCAGAAAATCAATACCGAGGATTGGGGATGGAACGTCTGCAATGATGAAAGACCAAGTGTAGGTATTCTTTAAACCAAAATCTAAAGTCATTCGTTTACTTCCATATGTAACAATACTGGACTGATTAACAGCTTGGAGAGTAACTGCTGGGTCAGGATGTTGACGTTCCTGTGTAGACGGAGGGAGAACACTCACCTCTGCTCCTGTGTCAACTAAGAATGTAGTACCGGTATTTTTATCTGTTACATAAAACAAACGACCGTTAGATCGTAGGTTGCCAACAGTATTTTTTACACATGACGATATATCTTTTGGTTTAGTCTGAAAATTGCAAGGTGAACGGCACCGTCGTGCTTTGCTTCCATAACTACGGTGATACCAGCAAATATTATCGCGTTGTCGTGACGTGCTAGGGGATCGAGAAAGACGTCGGCGAGACGAGCTTCTAGAACGGCTTGGTTGTGTGCGTGTGGTCAGTTTTGCTAACTGACTCAGTAAGGTGTCGACTTTGTGTTCTAGAGTCTGTATTCTATCGTGAGTGTCTGGTATTCTGCTGGTGGAAGCGACAGATTGAGGTGTTGACCTCTCGTACATGCGATCCGCGATTTCGGTGAGCCTTTCTATGTCAATGTCGTCATCTCCGAAAGCAAGCACCTGCTGGATGTTTGCGGGAAGTCGTCGCAGCCAGATTTGATAAAAGAGACGTTTGTCGATTTCTCTTCCGGCAACTAGGCTTTGCATATGCCTCATGAGTTGCGATGGGGTTTTATCCCCTAACTCAACATTGCTTAACAGGCGATCGAGTGCTTGCCTATCTGAAAGCGAAGTGCATCGCAGTACCTCTTCCTTCAACTTGTCATAAGGTGCTTCCGTGCTGGGTTGAACGATGTATTGCCGTACCTGCTCGGCGACTTCGTCTGGTAGTACTGTACTCAAAATGCCAAATTTAGCTGTCTGTGACGTGAGCTTATTGCTAGCCATATAATGTTCCAGTCGTGCAAACCAAAGATGAGGGTCTCTGGGCTTAAAAACTGGTACAGTAAGAGAGATAGTACTAACAGATCCCAGCTCTAAGTTATCAGAGGTATTGGAAGACATGTTACAATTCGTAAAAAAAATGGTTTAAGAGTAGGAAAATGGCAAAATTTGTGCACAATAAGAATATGGCAAAACAGAAAAAATGCAATGCAGGTGCTTACCACAAATTACTGCAGGTTGTGCTATGAGAAAACACAAAAATGAGTTCGAATTGTTTAATAAATATATAAATCCACGAAAGTTAGAGTTTCAATAATCCAGTAAGTGTACAAACGCGTCGAGGTCAAAAGTCGTCGTCGGAGTCAGCAATTTGTCGTCGGGATCAGCAAGTTATCGTCGGGGCTCACCAATTTATTGCGTGTTCTATTTGACTAAATGAGCGTACACGTATTTCCTAGTACTTCTTCACGTTTATCAATGTGCGCAGACGTTGTGGCTACTCGACGCCCACAACGTAAAATCAGAAGGCACTTGTGAAGAGTATAATCGTGTATTATAGCCGTAGTCAAATTTCGAAAAAAGTATCAAGGTAACGTTCAACAGTAAATTGACAAATGTTTACGAAGTACATATAAAATCGGTATGTGTAAACATATAATATGAGTATGCAAATTAGATTAAAAACGTATGTTTATAGTTGGTACAGGGGTACTACAGTACTACATGCTGGGAATTCAACGTTGTTTCAAGTGTACTGTTTGGAATAAAGATGATAGTACTACTATTATTAATAGTTCACTGGAGAGGCTAGCAAACAATATCTCTTCTGACCAAAATATCGCCACATCTCGGTGTTTATTCATTCTCAGTCTTTTATTAACAAACTAGTGCATACTATTTAATGTTAGATAGTTGGTGGGAATCATTAGGAAGACTTGGACTTAGTTTTCATGCTCGTCAGCAAGGAATATATGCCACTTTGAAGGCAGCGGTGTTCCCCCACACATATGAACCCACGTCATCCAGTGACCCCGAATAGATTAGTGATAGCGTATCTAACTGAAACACTGGATGCTGTGGATTTAAATCTATAAGGGAAAGCCAGTACCTTCAAGGTTGCAGATATTCCTTGCTTCCGACTGATTTCCTCCAACCACCTAATATCATTTCAGAGTGCGCAGCTCGGTGACCACACTGCAAACTTGACTGACATACTTCCACGATTTGAAAAAAATGCGATGACTCTACGACAGTGAAGGAACTCAGTGGGTTTCTCCGTTACTCTGTTAAACTTGCCGAAGTGAATGCAAAATTGGACTTCTTAGAAAACAACATTAAGAATCATCGATATCCGAAGTGGTTCTGGAAGGCACTCCGAAGGCATCATATTTATCCCAATTCCAAAACTCTCCAACGTCACACAAGAAACCTTGTTGATTTCATTAGTTCGCATACATTCGAGTTAAACAGAAATATATCACAGAGTTCTTCTGTTCTTTCAGAACTATCATCAAGTGGAAGAGAATCGTTTAATGAATATGTTACCTTGGTGCAAAGCAAACAAGCTGAGAATTTCAAATTAGATTTGAACAGGAGCCTCAAGTCCGTCGAAGTACAGAAGAAGTTCCCCATCGATCCCAATAAATTTGTTTTCAATCACTCTTCCGTCAGCTTGTCTACGTTACAACTAGAAGCTGTATCTTTAGGATTGAAATTTTGTGACGTAAATCTATGCAGTAACAGACTGCACACGTATGTCCAATTCGAGAATATTATTAGTCAAACAAGCGACGTTACTCCTGTTTCTGATGCAGATTTCTTACATTTCAAGTCTACAATTTTCGACTGCTGCAATCAATACCTCAACTCAAAAACTGAAGTCCGACATCTCTTGATAAAGGAACACAAACAACAGCTTAAAGACTTGAGAAACAACAAAATCTAATCATTACACATCCAGACAAAGGCTCGGGAGTGGTCCTTATGGACAGAGATGTGTACGTCAATAAATTGACAGCCCTAATCTCTGATGGTGATAAATTTTCAAAACCAGACAATGAGAAGAATAAGACAGAACAGATGAAACAGCAGCTGATGGATGTTCTTGCGAGAATGAAGAACAACTGCCTCATAATTGAACGTCTGAGACCGACAGGATCAATCATCCCTCGACTCTACGGTCTACCAAAGGTGCACAAAGCAGGCCTGCCACTCCGACCAATTTTAGATATGGAGGGATCACCTTATCATCCTATTGCCAAATAATGTCAGAAATGCAAAATCCTGTGAGACAACAACTCTGTAAGTACTCTGTCCGAGATACTTTTGAATTTATTGAGTTCATAAAAGACTTGAATGTAAGTGGCAAACGAATGTTATCACTGGACGTAGAATCCCTATTTACGAATGTGGCCTTTGCAAATATATGAATGACAAAAATCTGAGCATCGGAATACCAACCTCATATCTGAAAGAGTTGTTATTAAGGTGCACATTCAACGACGTCATCTATAGAAAGAAAGACGGGATTGCTATGGGCTCTCCCCTTGGCCCACTTTTGGTAGACTGCTTCTTAAAATCAACAATAGACAAATTGTTGCTGTACAAAAGATATGTCAATGATACTTTTATAGTTTATCAGGATTCTGATTTAAATTATATCTTATAGGAGTTTAATAAATGCCATCCTTCAATTAAATTCACAATAGAAGTTGAAAATGAATCAAAGATTCCATTTCTAGACGTCGAATTGACAAGAAGAGACGATGGAACTCTGAAAAGATCTCTCCATAGAAAACCAACATGGAATGGCCAACTGATAAACTTCTACAGTTGGATACCTATCAGCGGTAAAAGAGCTCTCATCATCTCGCTAGCCCACCATTCCAAGAGAATTTGTAGCGATGACTATTTAGAAGAAGAGCTCCTATTTCTCAAAAGCATCCTAGTTCAAAATGGATACCCACCGCGTTTCGTAGAGAAGAACATGAAACCAAAGCCAAAAAGAGAAGAATACACTTTAGTGCCAAAGAAAACACTTTATTTGAATGTGGAATTCAGGGGAGACCTAGCAGCAGATATCCTAAAGAGGAGAATCTCCAATTCCCAGAAGAAGACTTTTCTTGCAGCAACTCTAAGAGTGATATTCTTTATTATTATTATTATTATTATTATTATTATTATTATTATTATATCCTTTAATTCCTAGAAGAACATAGGGCTTCAGCCGTGCGTCTCCATTGAGTTCGGTTCTCTGCTAGAGTCTTCACCTAGCTCCATGTCTGCCCACACGTTTTCATCTCCTCTTCACATGACCTCCTCCAAGTCACCCTCACACTGACGACCAACTCGCCGCCTCCCTTTCGGGTTCCACTCGAGCAATGGCTTGTCTAGTGATGTCACTTCATGGTTTCCTCAGAGTATGGCCAGCCAATCCATCTCCATTTCTTCCTGCCTATTTGTTTCACAATCGGTTCCTGGTTGGTTCGCTCCCAGAGATCCCTCCCTGTTGCTGATCTTTTCTGGCCATCTGATCTTGAGTATTGAGCGAAGACAACTGTTAATGAAGGTCTGTAGTTTGTTTGAGATGCTCTTTATGAAGAGCAGTGCAAGTCTCTGATCCGTATAGTAGCACTGACTGACTTCACATTGGAGTTGAAAATCCGGATCTTACTTTTCATGCTGAGTGTTGTTGACCTCCACACAGACTTGAGAGTAGTGAAAGCTTGTCTTGCTTTCCCGATTCTTGCTTTGATATCCTCGTCAGTTCCGCCTGTAGTTGAACGATGCTTCCCAGGTCGGTGGGTAAAGGAGGTCGTTTCTTTCAGGTTCCTTCCATTTATGCTGATTGTTGTCTGTTGTTGTTGTTGCTGTTGGTGGTGTTGCCCAGGAATCTTCATCACCTCTGCCTTCTCTATGTTCACCTGAAGTCCTATCTTTGATGCTTCTTCTGCCAACTTGTTGCTTTTCGCTTGCATATCTTCCAGTTTGTGGGAAATCAGACACATATCATCGGCGAAGTCCAGATCCTCCAAGTTTTTTGTGTGAGTCCATTTTATGCTTGTTTCCTCATTGCCCACTGTTTGTCGTATTATCCAGTCTACTGCAATCAGGAAAATCATTGACGATAGTAGGCAGACAACTTGTCTTACTCCTGTCCTCACTTCGAAGGATTCCGTAAGTTTCCCGTTGTGAATTACTTGGCATGCAGCATTGTCGTACAGCTGTTGGATGAGATGTGTAATTGTTGGTGGCACCCCGTAGTAGCGAAGTAGTTTCCAAATCACCTCTCGATCGACGCTGTCAAAGGCCTTTTCAAAGTCGATGAAGTTGAGATAGAGAGGTGACTGCCATTCCAGGCTTTGTTCAATGATGATCCGTAATGTGGCGATCTGATCAATGCATGACTTGTTTCTCCTGAATCCAGCCTGTCGAAGTTTTTCATCCAGGGCATGTTTGATTCTCTCCAGGATGATGTGGCTTAGTATTTTGCTTGGGATGGACAGAAGCATAATTCCGCGCCAGTTCTTGCATTGACTTAAGTCTCCTTTCTTTGGTAGTTTGAATAAGTATCCTTTCTTCCAATCCTCGGGTACTTTGCCTTCTTTCCACACCTTCTCCAGTAGTGGCGTCATCAAGTCCGCTGTTGTCTCTGGATATATTTTCAATGCTTCTACTGGGATTCCATCTGGTCCTGCTGCTTTTCCAGCTTTTAGCATCTTGATTGCCTTCAGAACTTCTGATTTTGTCGGGGGGTTGGTGTTCACTGGTAGCTCTGTCTCCGTTGTTGGTATTGTTGGGCGCGTTGTAGGCGGTAGTCGATTTAGGAGTCTTTTGAAGTGTTCAGCCCAATGTTTCCGTTGCTCCACTTCTTTGCTGAGTGACTTTCCGTTGTCATCTTTCACCGGCTTGATTTGTGTCAAACGTTTGCCCTATAGGTACCTAGTTGTTTGGTAGAGTGTAGATATTCTCTAGCTGCTCACTAATTTGGAGCAGCGGGAAGGACAGAATTCCACATATGACCACTTCAATGTGCATATATCAGTTCACCTGCTCGTACGGAGCTAGGTACATAGAGCGTTCTTTGAGGGTCTTATCAAAACGTGTTAGAGAACATCCTCCAGAATGGCTGCAAAGAGGAGGCAGTGGTTCAATCAGAAGGGCCATAACTGAACACCTCTCGTAATTCATATCCAGTTGGAAATAATTGTCACCTTTGATTCGCCTTTAAGATTATTTTATTATGGATAAGATTTTATTTTTATTAAATCACACAGTGTTATACAGTAATATAACTGATGACGTTTCGAGCACAAGCTATTGCCCATAATCACATCAAGTTGAAAAAATTATTATTATTTCTCCAGTTACCAGATATTAATTTTGCATACGTTGTAACTGTTTTCTAATCCTATGTAATCTTGTCTCTAAGCCCCTTGTAATCTATATTCGTACTTTCAAACTTTCATATCAAGCTGAAAATTATTATCTCCGTTACCATGTAGAATTAAACAAATCATGTTATACTTCAGTCAGCACCAAGACGAAGGATGGTTGCACCTTAACGATTATTCAATGAACATTGCATATTGTTAGCAGTGTATTTTATATCCACATTGGTATGTTGTCATATTTTGAGTTCAGTAGAAATACTACAAATTGTAAGCTCGCTTTTGCCAAAATATTAGAAATGAAAAGTTTTAT